CAGAAGAAATTTCCGGATCCAATGCTATTACACTTGAATGTATCGATATAGCGCGAATTATATTTATTATAGAGAAAGGAGTATTTTAATCTTTAATGAAAAATTCTAAAATATACAATAAAATAGTACGTATCGTCTTTTGTCGAATTCGTGCGTTGTAAGTTGGAGGGAAAATTTATTCTAAACGCAAAAACAACGACAAGTTACTATTGTCTCGATATAGTAAGAATTATTGATTTTATTTTGATATTGTCTTATTTTTATACTAAATGAGGTTGCGAGGAATGTAAATGCGTCAAGAATATTCTTTGTCTCGATAACAGAAATCCTTTCCGAGGGTGTGCAGTGCAGACTGTTCACTGATTTACGGTGATAAGTATACCACTTTCAATGATAATCCACCGATTGACTTTTAGAGAGTACTCTCTAAAAATCAATTAGTGAATTATCGCTGGAAACAGTGAATAGCCACTGATTTGCAGTTATAAGTATATGAAAATTGCAGTGGTATACTTATAGCTGTAAATCAGTGGCTATTCACTGTTTTTAATGATAATCCACCGATTGACTTTTAGAGAGTACATCCGGAGTTAATAAAACCGAACCGAGGCAACGGGTCCTTATTTTACGTGTAAACTTTTGCGCGCGTTCTTGGCGCACGATGGATCGACGGGTGATTATGCGTGGTCCAGGATTAAACATTTCAGCGAAGATAATGAGAAAAGAGTACGACACTCACCGATACGGTGCGCAGCGGTGGAGTTGCTGGCTACGTTGATCTGTAAAACAGAAATATGAATTATAGCAACAATTATGAATTATGAATTAATTATTAATTATTAATATCTTAAGAAATAATCATCGTTGCGCGCATCTCAGTCTGTCTCTTCATTTGTCTTTCAGACAAAAATTTGTATAAATCAAATAAGGAACGAGAACGGCAAAGTTTAGGTCCGGGCAAGATGTAGGCAGCTCAATAAATAATATGCGAATTCATTTAAGCCTTGCGTCCACGATCCAAGAACTGTGTCAAAGTTCCAGTTTCGAGAAACGCGCAGCCAATCAACATGCAGCTTGTATGGAATAGCTGCAAGCTGATTGGCTACGCATTTCTCGAAACTAGAACTTGGACCAAGTTCTAGCATCGTGGACACAGGCCGTTAGCACAGTTTCGTTCAGATAGAATCATTGTCGTCTACAAATTCACGTATTTTAAATCGACAAACGATTTATAATTATTATTATTAAAATGCTATACTTAGCATTTAATACACTACTCCTCCCCGTTCTCTAAAGATAATTTATATAATTCCCGAATGTGCTTTACGATCATAACAATTTTACTGACAATTACTTCATAATTATATAATAATCAGTCGAATTATTTAACTAATAACCCATTTATATAATAATCAGTCGAATTATTTAACTAATAACCCATTTTTCGTAGTTTCTAATTAAAATAGAACATTTATGTAATTTCCAAAAAGATTCCTCTTCGCGAGACCGCGATAAAGCCCCGATTCTCTCGTATCGAATAATCCGACAGATATCTCGGCTACGTGGAAAATATTATATACAATTTTTACGCAATTTCATTGCCGCGACGCAAAATGGCGGGTAAGTAACGCGCCGCGCGGGGCGGGGCGGGTTCTCGCCTCGCGATGTTGCGAGGTGAGACAAATTAACTAACTCCAAGGACAGTTCTTGACTGAGAAACGGGCGAGCGAGAAAAGGCGATTCCTTACCTCGCGGGTGCTCCGCCGTTGCCCGATGCCTCCCAGGCCTGCTCCTCCTCTCTCTCGTGCCCTCGCCGCTCCTCGTCCATGGCACTCGCGTAGACGCGGTTAGGTCACACTCGTGCGCGCACTGATCACTCGGAAAAAAAAAACCACACGACGACCGGACACTCGGGCACTCCCGCGCGAAACTAATCGAACGCGCGGCCGACGAGCGACGCGAGCGAGAGGGAAACCGCGCGGAATCGTCCACGGAGAGATTACGTTGCGTCGCGAACCAGGCGGTGCGAGACGACGACGACGACGAGCGCGCCGGTGCGGAAATTCGAAAATTGCTAACTTCACGAGCCGCGGCGACGCTGCACCTGTTGCTCCTACCTGCACTTCCGCGCACTCACTCTCTCACTCTCTCTCTCTGTCTCTCTGTCTCTCTCTGTCTCTCTCCGCCACGCGACCCTCGGTAAGTAAAGCGCACTCGCGTTTGAGGGCGACCGCCCGACTTTCGCGACGTCGAAGGCGAGCGAGGATCGCAGCGAGCCGAAACCGCGGACGCGAAGCCTCGCCGGCTGCTCTCGCGCCCGAGTCGCGATCCCCCGCGGCCGAGTCTCACACGGGTGCTCGCGTACCTACCAGGCGATCAACGGCGGAGGATCCCGGCGAGAACTGACTCGTCTCTAATCGACACGTCGGCACCGTCGAGCGCGTCGCGTCTCCCGGCGTCCATGCTCCGCGAAGCTGCCCTCGCGGATCACTCGCGGTACACTTTGTTACACCCACGCCACACACCACGCTGGCCAATCTCTCCGACGGAATCCCGTGTCGCACGCGACGCCCGGTCAATTAGCGCGGGACGTCTTGCCTCGCCAGATTCGATTCTCTCGCGAAACTGCAGTTAAGGGGTAACACCACTCTAGGATTTTCAAAAAATCGAAAAAATTTTTTTTTGCTTAAACGATACTTTAGGGACATAAAAACAATATGTCATTCTTGGATAACAATTTATAAAATTTTAAATGGTTTAATTATCGATTTTGCCGCAGCGCCTCAGAGCGCGCGGCACTCACGCGGCGCGCTGTGATTCATCGCTTTTGTACTTTTCCCGTTCATTTCTCTGTTTTATATATTATATATTATATATTTTTATATTTTATATATTACATATTGTGTTGAAGTGAATAACAAGAACAATATGAGTGTTGGAGACGGGGCTTCGAGAATGTTCTCTTGCTGCATTCTCGTTGCATCAGCTTTACGCAAAATAGTGACGAGAGCTTCAACGCTACAGTCTGGTCAATGGCTCCGAAATCGACTTCAAGCGGCAAACACATTCTTGACACGGCAGTTTATATTAGTGTAGGCATATATAATGACGGCCTATCAACTATCATGAGGCTCATGCAGAATTTGGATATGACAATTGGGCCGAACTGTTATAACTTCTGCGTGGAAACCGACGCGCGCCGCATCAACTTTTCCGAGAGATCGCTTAGCGATGCCGAAAAAAGGGCCCGAATAGCCTTAAAAGTATCTAGGAAGGAAGAGAAGGAGGCGACCATCGACCTGGATGGCCAAATGTATGGTGCAGGCATCGCAGATTAGAGGTAAACAAAAATTTCAAGGATTAAAGTGTTCATAAAACTTTAAACGCGTTTTTCTCGAAACTACTTTTTTCAAACTGGGAGGAAGGATTTCTCGGAGACTATTGCATGGATCGATTTGAAATTTTTACAGTAGCTTCACAACAATATTCTCTTTGGAAGTACGTAGCCGTTTTTCGATTGAATGTAAACTTTTTTTTTTAGAAACAATTTAATGCTCATTTTTAGGGCAAAAAATCGATTTATTTCTTACAAAGTGCACCATTTCCACAAAAATTGATTTACAAAAAAACTCCTACGTACTTTCAAAGCCAATTGTATATAGATTATAAATTTTTTTTGTTTTTTGTTCCAGGACTCATACATGCCGAGAAATCCTTCCTCCCGTGGCGGTGTTTTCAAAAAAGCTGTTTTCGACTACGGGCTCTGTCGCCGCCATTTTGTATGAAAATGACAATTAAAAAATTTTTTTTCGTACTTAAATATGTGTTAAATAAACCCTCTGACAAGAAATTCTATTCCCGTTTGTCATACTCCCAAAATAAATTGTCAAATTTAGGTCTTTTTTTCAGCCTCTAGAGTGGTGTTACCCCTTAATTGAGGTAGAACGTTTGCGTAAATTTGTCTCTCTAGCTTGAATTCAACGCGCTGGTCAACGATCTTCAGTGGTCAATGGTAAGGGATGATCGGCGAAAGTGCGCGCCGAAGGTTAGGATTTGTGCCTCTCGCTCTCGTCTCGTTTCCTCGCCGAGGCTTGTACAAACGTCGCCTGTGCTCCCGCGTATTCTCGAAACGCGTGCCTAGTGATGCAAAGTTCGTTTCCGTAATATAGTCGGGAGAGGCGATCGGGAATGTAAGATTACTTCGGCTTCTCGATTCCGTTTTACACGATAACGCGGAGCGACTCGTGCCACTACCCGCCCGCTCGGGCGTCGCTACGCAAATGATAGCGCGATTGAGCGCGGTGACCTTGTTTACGGACGCCACGCCGAGCGGTACGCAGGGCGCCGTTCAAAAAAACAACAATACTACGTGCCAACGGCTCGCCGCGAGGAAATGTCTTTAACGTACGGAAGAACCTTGAATACACCATTCATACCATTGTGAAAGCTAAATAATTAAGTGGCTACTACCATTCGCGCTGCGTCCCGCGGACTCGTCGGATCGTGTTAGAGCAACGATTCACTCTGTTCGAGAGGTATGTATTAAAATATCTACATTGTATATTATTGAATATGGTATAAAATAATTGTGCACGCATATATGTTAGCATGGAACTAGGATTTTAATAACGTTTAGATTTCTAAAACGCTCTTGACTGTCTCAGATACATTGCTGCCGCGATTACTTTGATTTAATTTATCTTTAATCTTTTTCCAAATAGTTCTAAGAGTTAAGAAAAGATAAAAACTCAGTTATACATATTTTCTTTCTTTCATTGTTTCTAAATATATAATAGATCGGATTAATTTTGTTCGATGTGTGTATTAAAATATTCGTGCATACATATATGTAAGCATGGAACTAGGATTTTAATAACGTTTAGATTTTCAAAACGCTCTTGACTGCCTTAGATACATTGCTGCCGCGATTACTTTGATTTAATTTATCTTTAATCTTTTTCCAAATAGTTCTAAGAGTTAAGAAAAGATAAAAGCTAAGTTCACCGAGAATTAAAGTAGTCTGCATTGGTAGAAACGAACAGCGATACAAATAAATTCACAAAATATGTGGAATACACATTTTCTTTCTTTCATTGTTTCTAAATATATAATAGAGCGGATTAATTCTGTTCGATGTGTGTATTAAAATATTCGTGCATACATATATGTAAG